TCCAAAGAAAATAGCTTGTTTTTCTTTTGGTCTTTGTTTCTTGTTATATTTCTTAGTCTAGAATCTTTTTTCTTAGTAGAGTTTTACTAGTTTCCTAATCTAGTTTTGAAGTTTTCTATAGTTTTTCTTTAGCTCCAAATTTGGTCCGAATGATCTACGGTTTAAATTATTTATTAAATTAATATAGAAGATATTAAAGATATATTAAAAACTAGATAGAATAAGTTATATTATCCTGTAATAGAAATTGCTAATTTTTTTAATCCTAAAATTACTGAATATGGCTTACCAAATAATTTTATAACAACAATTTCTACTTTTATTTCTAAATATTATTCTTATAATTCATCAATTATTTGACAACAAATTATTCAATATAAAACCAAAACTATACTATTTAATAATGAGTTAGCTTGGAAATCTGTAAATCAAATTGATCCTATTAGTTGGTAGAAAGGAAATTTTTAAGAATCTGCATCTGAATTAACTAAATTAGCTTTAAAATATTATCAATTCCAACTTCTTCAGCAGCAGCAAAAAGAAATTAGTCAAAATTTTCATTTATTTATAACAAAAAAAAAAATGCAAAGATTAACTAAACCAAGGGTTTTTAAATTAGTTTATATATATAGTAATTATAGATTACAATTACCTCATATTACTCAAAAAATTTATGAAACTAAAGATGCTAAAAATAGAAATTTATCTGAAATATTTGAATTAGATAATAATGAAGAGAATAATAATTTAGATAATGATTTAAATAATGACTTAAATAGTAATTTAGATGATAATTCTGATAATAATTCTAATTATAATTCTGATGATGATTTTGATGATAATTTAGATAATGATTTAGATTATTATATTGATGAAAATTTAGATGATGATTTGGATGATGATTTAGATGATGATTTAAATAAGAATTTGAATGATAATTTAAATAATAATTTAGATAGTGATATAAATAGTGAAGAAGAAGAAGATATTAATAATCATTTAGATAATAAATATAAGAATAATAATGAAAATGAATTGACTAATAGTTTAGATGATATTAATATAGATAATGAGTTAAATGAAGATTTTGAAACTAACAATTTAAAAGAAAAAAGCTTTGATACATCTATGGATAAACTTTCTAAAAATGATGAATTCTTGGAAAAATATTTTGCCAAAAAAAAAATAATGAATATTAAAATAGATTAAATATAAACTATTTTATTTTATAAAATAAAATATAAGATTACTAAAATTATTTTAGTAATGATCATAAATCTTATAAATAAAAATAAAAAAAATAAAAAATTAAAACTCAAAAAAAATTAAAAATTAAAAAATACAAAAAAAAAGAAAAAATATAAAATAAACAAAAAAAATTTAAAATAAAAAAATTAAAAAAAATTAAAAAATTAAAAAAATAAAAAAAAAAAATAAGATATATATGTTTTGGCAAACTGAATTGGTATCTAGAATTGGTCTGATTTAGAGTTTGAGTTAGCTAGATTTATAGTTAGATATTGGGAAATAATCATCGAGAAAATCATATAAACCCAAACTAACTATTACATTTATAAATAGCAAATTTTAAGTAAAAATTTATGTATTTCGGCAAAATCTGATTATGAATTATCTTTATTTATGTACGAAGAAAATAATAAAGATATAAATTTAAAAAAATTTTTGATTTTTTATCATGCGGTATCATGCGCATTGATGCGCATTCATGCGCATGTTATTTTAAAATGCGCATTTTTCCCATCTCTAGTCATTTCGCCTTTTTCTTGTTGCGCGTTGTATTAATTTTGCCTTCACTTTCTTCCTTTTTAGGTTAGTTAATGTTTCTTTCGTGGGGGATCAGGCTTAGCGTCATAAGCTGATCGCTGGGGCTTCTCTTGCATACAATGGGGAAAAATCGGGTAACACGATCGACGGTTTGGGGTCGCGATCCAAATTACGATCCCGGTCACGTTTTAGGTCACGTTTTCGGGAATCCTTGCGCATTGGCTCCAACCCGATTTCCCTCTAACAATATATATACATAAAAATAAAACTACTAACTGCATCAAAAAAACTAACCTGATTTTAAGCGTCTCCCAAATAAGGAAATTGAAAAAAACAATATCGATATTGATCGTATATTCGGTATTACATATAACGATAGGCAGAAACTCCGATTTAACACAATACAAAGACACTACGTCCATGCGCATGCATAAGTATCGTGCGCATAGTGTCCATTATAAGATCAGTAAACTTTTTATTTTTGATGTTAAAATCGTTGATAAAAAAGTAATCATACAAATAAGCACACATAGGGACGGATCATCCGTCCTGGTCCCTGACATTAATGCTTTTGGTCCGGTCCTAAAAGAACGTTTCTTAGTTATTTAAAACTCTACCGATTTTATTGGCTAGCGGAGAGATTCGGTAAAGCAATTACGTAACATACTTTTTTTAACTATTTATGAAGACTAGTCTCAAGACTGAGGACGAATAATTGTGGGACCGGTTAAAAGACTGGTCTTTCCAGGACCTGTCCATCTCTAAACGCACACTTTGCAAGTCACTTGTCGGTATTTTGAATTAAATACTTATTTTGAAACCCCCATTATAAAAGTGGCAAATTTATTATTTTATAATATGCGAAGTTTTAAATATACTGTAATATACCGTTAAATTATATAGACATTAAAAAGCCACCTAGTGTCTCCCATAAAAAATTTTGTAGATAATATAATATCAATCTTGAAGCCGTAAAAGTTTTTGTACCAAAAATACAAAAGCGTCGAGATTATAAATCAGTTACAAATAAATATACACTTAAAAGTAAAATATATACTTTGCAAGTCACTTGTTTCATCCGAAATCAGCAGAATCACTAATTTTGTAACCCCCGGTATGTAATGTGTTTTAAGAGATAAGAAGCGTTTTATTCTTATTATGAAGCTAATAATAATAATCTGTATTATTTATATCTAGATCGGACCAAGCAGATTATTAGTTTAACATAACATAGGTTAGCTAATGGGGGATAAAAAAATAATATAATAAACAACTGACCAATAAAATTACAAGATTTATGTATATTTTTTGAAAAAGTGGGGGGTTATTATTATGTTAAACGAATAATCTGCTTGGTCCGGCCTTGTTAGATTAAAATGGTTCAAAATTTAGAACTTTAGAAATATGCTTAATGCTATTTTCAACTATTTTTATATTGCATTGATTTCTAATTTGCTGCCAAGTATTTAATAGAAATTATCGCTTATAAGTGCATAACAGATATTACGTTATGAAAAGTTAACTTGGAGATGTTATAGTCCTGTCCTAGTCCCAAAATTTCATAATAAAGACGTCTTTTTGTTATAAAATTTTGAGACTAGGACCGGACCCATAGCATCCCTAGCTGGCATTAAAAGGTGAATTTTTGCTATCTTTTGTAAAAAGTCTGATTGAAAAATTTAAAATATGAAGACACTTTATTAAGAGCTGAAAATTTTCAATTTGAAAAAGCCGTATAATTTTGAGTGTTGAAAGTCCCATAATAAAATTCACTTATCTATGTTTTTAATTTTATTCAATTATATTCACTACTTGATTTATGAATTGGCAATTAACTTTTTTTTTTTTCCTTCTTAAAATTCACGACAAGAACAAAAAAAAAATAACTATTTGAGGAAATTCTTGTACGTACATACTTACATACCTGCTAACACTTTTTTGTTTATCGTTATGTCGAACAAATAAATCAAATATATCACAAGCAGATACTTATGTCTTTCATAACTATATGTAGAAAATTTTGCTGCAATATAAAGTGTACATGCGTACCTAGCATTTATTTGTTCACAAACTTTACTTTTTTAAGGAAAAGATAATTTTTTTTTTTTTACAATTTAAACTCACACTAAGAAACTTTAAATAATGTCTTCACCACGAAAACATGAAAAAAAAGAGCTCCATCTACGAGGAGAATATAGTACAAAGTTGGGAACAACCGAAATAGCTAGTCAAACAATTTCTGCCGTTCAAACTGTAGGAGATGCAATTACACCATTTGTTCCTTTATTTACCATGGTTACAAACATACTTGGTTCTATGATAACAATTTATGATAATGCAAAATGTAATGAAAAAATTTGTGGAGTTTTATTAGATCGTGTCGAAATA